GCCGACAGATGCCAGCGGCTCGTGGGCGGCGAGCGATTGACTCTGCAATACACAGCGTAGGAAGGCAGGAGACAGACAGACAGAATGACGGACAGATTGTGTTGGGGAGGGGAGAGGAGCTGGATTTCACAACACAGAGCCTAAGAGACAGGAGCCCCCCTCCAAATCCCAGCTGACTGACCCCCACCAGGGACCCCCACCAGCTGCATCTGTCGCCTGGCGCTGAGATGCGGCCACCTCTGGGGCAGGGCGGCTGGTTACCCAGGGACCCCTCGCCCAGCGCTGAGAGGCAGCCACCTCTGGGGCAGGGCGGCTGGTTACCCGGAGACCCCTCGCCCAGCGCGGAGAGGCAGGAGGGAAATGCATCAGACCTGGCTCCCAGCCCCACAAGCCGGGGGAGAACCCAGGCATCCAGGCACTCACTGATGATGTAGTAGTCCTGGTTGCTCTTGAATTCGTGGCCCCACAGGTTGGGGCTGAATTCCTGGAACTTGATGGTGAATCGCACGTCGTGCTCGGGCCGGTCGCACGTCAGCAGCAGGTTGGGGGCCCGCAGGATCTCGCACGCCCGGGCCTGCTCACCCGGCACCAGGTACAGCTTGTAATATTCGTACTCCTCCGCTGAGAAGGGGCCCGGCGGGCGGGACCGCGGGCAGATCAGGTCCAGCCGGTCGCCGATCTGCGGGTACAGGACGTAGCCGCCCGCCACCTGGAACCTGCCGGAGACGGGTGTCAGAGAGGGGACCCCAACCCGCGTCCCCCTGAGCCAGCCAGTCCTCACCATGGGGCCAGAGGGGAGCTGGCGCCCCCTAGAGGGGACAGGCCCCTGCCCCATTCCCCGCCCCCCTGAGCCAGCCAGGCCCCTCCCGACAAACCAGCCACCCACCTGGCAACAGGGCCCCTCTATGTGCAACACCCATCCCCTCACCCTTCTGCTGCCCCCCCCCAGCCCCGCGCCTGGGGGAGCCACCCAGACCCACCCCCACCCAGAGTTGGGGGAAAGATCCCAATCAGCTGCCTATGGTCCCCGAGGGACCCCTCACCTGGCGCGGAGATGCGGCCACCTCTGGGGCGGGGCGGCTGGTTACCCAGGGATCCCTCGCCCGGCACTGAGATGCAGCCACCTCTGGGGCAGGGCACAGCTACTACTCTAGTGGGTTGGGGGCGCGGGCCTGGGAGCCAGGACTCCTGGGTTCTATTCCTGGCTCTTGGAGGGGAGAGGGGCTAGTGGTTAGAGCGGGATGTGGGTGGGCTGGGCGCCAGGACTCCTGGGTTCTCTCCCTGGCTCTGGGAGGGGAGTGGGGGCTGGTGGGATAGAGCAGGTGTGGGGGGGGGGCTGGGAGCCAGGACTCCTGGGTTCTATTCCTTATCTATACCAGAGTCAGGGCTAGAACCCAGACGTCCTGACGGCCACAGGCCTTTAGCCCAAGAGCCGATGTAACGCCGAGGGGCAGGATCGAACCGGGGACCTCTGGAGCATAGAACATGAGCCTCTACCGCATTTTCTCTCCCGGACCGGCAGCCTGATTTCGCGGTTCCTGGGAATTTCCCGTGCATTTCCTCGGCCAGCCCGGGCCCCGTTCAAGCCCGATAACCCCCCCACCCCGGAATCTGCACATATCGATACGGGCCACAGCAGACCATCACGCCCACTGCCCCCCGCCTCATCCAGCCCTCCAGGTCCCCTCCCACCCTCCCCACGGCACCGCAAAGCAAGATCTGAAAATCGTCCACCACGCCCTGTGGCCTTTGATCTCTCGGTCCCCTGTGAATCCCGCAGAGGCCCAGGGTTCTCTCTCAACTCTAGGGGCAAATCCTCGGCCGGCGAAGACGCAAGAGGCCCTGAGTTTTTCAGTCAGTTGCCATGCTGGGGCGTGAACCCTTCGTCTTTCCCACTGGCACGTCTATCTTGACTAAGGGCAAGTGATTTGAGAGGACACTGGCGTTGTAATGATGCTGTATCGCTCAGAGGGGCAGCTGGTTTGCGGCTTAGCTATCTGGTCAGAGGGCTGGATTTTTCAGCGCTTCACAGGGCACTTTTGTGGCCGATGGACTTAAAAAACAAAGTCCAGCCTCTCGAACACAAGCGGAGGTCGCTTTGAAAATGACCCGGGCGCTGCTCCCCACCCCAGAGCCAGCTGCGTTGGAGCGTTAAAGTTCTGATCAGAAGTCACACGAATCAGTGTTGATTCCCGGCTGATAAAGTCTGATCCGTGTACCTCCCGGATGTTAAAATATTCATTTGCGATCAGACCAGCTCAAACATATGGGGCCTGCCTCTAGTTAATAAGAGAAACTCATTTTCAGCGGCTTGGCGCATCCGTCGGGCATTGCATTTGCCTTCTTAATTTTAAGCAAACGACAGCATTCGTGAGGAATAACTCCACCAGAATAACTTCTGGCCAGCTTCATCAAAACCGACAGCGATGACCGAGAATAGCCGCCGGAATATTTCATGTGTCCTTCCGGCCTGGGCAGCTAAAAATTATCCCAATGGCTTCCAAAACCAGGATTCGGGGGCAGGAGTTTGCGGGAGAAATCTGAGCTCCGGCTGGGAAAGGGAGTCCCAGATTTTTCCGCTTTTGGAAAATGTCCGGTTTGAAGATCACTCAAAAAAAATCAGTCGATGGATCTCGCCGGATTGGACACCGGAAATCTTCATGGAACCCCCTCCCCAAATGGGGCTATTGGATAGTCACAAATACGGTTTCTGGCTGGGCCGTAGAAGCTCCCAGAAAAAAACTGGTGCCGAGGGAAATTCAAGAGAGAAACCGGTTTGCGGGGAGTCCGTTCCCTCCAGCCTCGGGACCGGCCAGCTCTCCAGTGTCCCAATCCCCTACCACGCACACACAGAGCCACGGTTCGTGGTCCCGGGAGATTTAGAAGCCTTCCACTGAGTCTCAGACTGCTAGGTTCCAGTTCCCCCCAAGGGGGTTAGGCACCTCGTTCCCATTGATTTCGCCAAACAGCCCAAGCGGTGCTTAATTTTTACATTCGCGACTGATGCAGAGGTGCCGGGGCTCTGCCCAGCCAAGCCCTGGCCCAAATTAAGCGCTGGGCCCGAGTGATCTTTGAAAATGGGACTTGGCGTTCGGGGTTTTTTAAAGCCGGTCAACAATTTTCTAGCCTTAGGCCGCTCAGCCGATCGGCATGTGTGTGTGTTTATATATACATACATACAGGAGTATCAGAGATCTAAGCTTGTGCGTGTGTCCAAGATCATGTCCTAAGCAAGCCAGTGGTTTGCTTTAAAAAGAAAGTGGTGTTAAAAAATGACAGGAAGTATTCCCAGACACACACACTGCCCACTCCCCAAGAGACAGCAACATTGGTCCCCATACACCAATGTCGCCAGCGGCTGATCTGCTCTGATACGTTCATTCTGCGCTGTGAAATAAATACATTTTAAAAATAAAGCGGCCTCTCTTTTTATTCTGTTTTAAGATCCACACATCCCTTGGATGTGGGGATGGGGGGGAGGGAAAAAAACCAGCCAGGATGCCGCCGAAAAACACCCTTCTCCCTCGATCTGCAAGGAGAGGCCACTGGGAGACGGCTAACCCCTTTTTCAGGCCTGGGGGCTGGTGGAAAAGATGTAGACGAATAGATCCATTAGCTCGAGTATGTATTTGTTGCTAGGAAGCACTGCCACACATTGATGGGAGTAATTGTCGCGTTGACGAATGCTCCATATTTCTGGCAACCAGGCTCCATCCCTCGCCAGCCTGTCGGACCCCCGAAAACTTTGTCGTTTGCTCCGAAGGGGGAAGGGGTTTTGATTGAGCCCGGAGCAGATGCAAGACTCGGGTGGTTTCGATGGATCTCGTGTCTGGAGTGATACGGCCAGGAGGGAAGAAAACGTATCTTCCAGATCTACCCGGGCAGAGAAATGCCTGCTTTGACCTATCGGCCCCATAAAGCGCAGTCCAGCAAACAGGCCCGTGTGCGAAATGAAAAGGATTCGCAGAGCCCCACAACACAAGGCAAGACCCAAAGGTCAGTCTCAAGAAGCCGTCTGGAGCGGGATAAATTCATATATTCTGCTTTGAGCCGAGGGTTGGACTAGATACCTCCTGAGGTCTCTTCCAATCCTGATCTTCTATGATACCCAGTCATTTGTTTCAAGGGGATATCAAACTACACACAACTTTAAGAAGCTGCTAGTATAAAGCTAAAGAAACACACACACACACACTCACAGAATAACTAATTTTAAGGGCATCCCCCCCTCCCCGTTCGATACACACACACACACATGCTTGATCTACACAGACATACACACTGAAGGCACCAAAACCAACACCCACAACTCGGAAGATGCACATTTATAGACCGCACCAGCGGAGAGCACCACTCATTTTCAAAAAAAGCCAATGCCAACCCAAAATCCGCCGTTCAAGAGGCCTACCACAAATTCACACCCATCTCCGGTTTGCCTGCACAAACTTCACCAAAACACCGCAATCTCTCTCTTAAACACACACACACACACTCGCTCTCCTGCGCTGGACAGCGTCAAAAGGCCACCAGATATTTTCCCCCCTAAAAAACAAACACCTCTCACCTTTGCACTGAAAACACCGATTTGTCCAGAATTAAAAAAAAAAATTATGATTATAAAGAGCAAAAACAATAATCCCCCCCCACTCTGATTTTGTTAAATAAAACATCATCCTTGATTTTTGGGGGGGGGAGGTCCCACTCCCAACACACTTTCCAGGAAATGGGTTGACTGAAGAGGGATAAAGGGAAAGAAAGAAAAGTTTGACAAGCGGATTAAAGGGCAGACTTTTGAGGGTGAAACTGACACAGGTCCTTATAAAACCCTTGTCAGTTACACTGGAAATTGACTGGATTGGGGGAAATGGAAAAAAATGCAATTTCTTTTCCCTTCACCCTCCCCCCCCCTTTCTCCTCTGGGATTTGCAGCCCCCAAATCAACCACGATTTAAAACTTGGGCGTGCCTTCCCTCTTCCCCCCCAAACCCATCCCCTCTTTATAGCAGAAAAAGCAGCACGAAACCAAGGGAGTTCCCCCCCTTCCCCACTTACTTTTTATTTGCTGTATTCCAGTATATAGGCTCCAGGCTCACAGCTGATATAACCCAAAGTTCCAGCAAGGAAAACAGTAACCCTATAGAGAGTCCGAGCAATGAAGTCCTCAATGCCATGACTGCAAAGGAAAAGGAATGTTTTTACCCCTCCTCTGTGTTTTCTTCTTGAGATTCACACACACACACACAAATCAAGAGGCTCCCAAAGACTTTGCCCCCCTCTCTGCCTAGGCTAGATAAAGTTTTATGGATTTCCCCCACCACACACACGCCTGGATTTTTCATGCCAGAACTGGAAAGTTGGTTGTTTTGTGTGTGTGTGTTGTTTTTTTCTTCAAGATCCTAATGCCATCTTCAGCCTTGGAGAAAAATACAGCTAGACACAGAGAGAGAGAGAGAAAATTCGCCTCCACTTCTCTTGTGTGTGTCTTTCTGGTCTGATCTCCTGAGCAGGGAGGACACAGAGTTGTAAAACACAAGGAAGGGAGGGAGGGGGAAGGAATTCATTTGAAAGCCCCCTCCTGGACTCCTTGTCTTTGGTGAGGTTTTTTTTTTCTTTTTCTTTTCTTTCTCTTTTTTTTTGAAGGTTCGGCATTGAGTAACTCCAGAGATGAGGACAGAGAATGGGAGTTAGCAGAGAGGAGGAGGAGCAGGAGAGAAGAAGTGGTGAATGGGAAATACTGGAGGAAAGAGAGAAAGAGAGAGACAGGGGCACATACACAGAGAGAGAGAGACTAGGATCTGGAGTCTGGACTTTAAGGAAGACGTGGAATCCGGATTCAGGTATAAAATTCTCCCCAGTGAATAGCACACATAAACCAGCAGAGCCAGCCAGCAAGGTTGCTTGAAGACAGGAATATTTTGCAGCTCAGTTCACTCGGCCTCTCCGCTTCCCTGTCAGGACTAATCAGAGACACAGTCGCTTCTTGACCAAAAAAAAAAAAGAGAGAAATCAGGGTCCTTTTCCCGAGCCGCTTTGCGCAGCGACGAAACAGAGAAATGTCGCCAAGCCTCGATTTATTCGTCAAATGCCCAGCCCAGTTCTTTGTGTGTAGGGAAAGGTGGATTTGTGTTACAAAGTCACTTTTCATCCGGTGAGGGAGACGTTTTTTTTAGGGGGAGGAAGATGTGGGGTTGGAAATCAGTCTGGGATCAGAAAGGGACCCAAGAAACAAATCTTCTGATTTTGGCCCTCGGACCGGGCGGGATGGGTTTTCGTTGGGGCTCCCAGGCCAGAGCGTCGGGGAGCATCTGGGGCCTGGGAAGTGCCTTGCTGAAGCAATATTTGCGAGGTGGGATTTCTCCATGAGAATCGGGGGGATCGATAAAAAAAGCAAGAACCCCCCTCGATTGCCAAATCCGGTTGGAGATGAATCCAGTGGCTTTTGAAACCCCGCACAGATTCGAAGGCCGTTTCCGAGCTGCTGGGCCCATCGAAGAGTTTCCCCGGGGGCTGTTCCTTCGCCGAGAACAACTCGCGGATGTTAAACCGGCTGGGAAACCCTTTCATTAAAAATTTAATCCGGGATCTCCGGGGTTCGCTCGTTTTAAGGGCAGCGGCGGTTCCTACAAACGGGTAGATCCTTGCGGCCGGGGGGCTTTCCCGAGACAGGAGTTGCCCAGATTGGTATCTTTGACCGGGCCTCTGGGATTTCTCGGCCCGTTGGGCTTCCAGGGTTTTGATGTTCACGGGGGTGGGGGGGGGTCAAATGGGCCAGGTGGGATCCTGAGGCCGAGGCGGGAAGCCAACCAGCATTAGCAGGCGTTATTGGGGTTCCCAGAC